GGCGAGCTGCTACAATTCCCTTCAAAAAACGCATCACGAATGTGAAGGTTTAAATGAAAACGCATCTCATTTTTAATTTTTTCCCCGTCTCTTGCTGTCCAGACCGCAGTGCAGTTTTATGGGGATGATGATTTCACACGACATGCTGCTCGGCCGCTGGCGCCTGTCACTGGAGCTCTTCGGTCGCGTATTCATGGAAGACGTAGGAGCTGAGCCTGGATCAGTAAGCCTCATTTAAGTTTTTATAGAAGCTAGCCAAAATGAGGTAAAACTGGAAAATTCTTTCATTTTAATGAGGTATTTTCAAGGTTTGTGAAGCGTTTGATTTCTGCAATAAGTGGTTGGTATTCAAACTGCAATTTAATGCAACGTAATGTTTCATGTTTCATTAAATGCAATGTAACGTTTCATTAAATTAGGTGTATGAAAAACAGTTGAAACCACGTTTTTCATACACCTAATAAAAAAGCAAATACGTTGTTTTCTCAGCATATGAAGTCTAAATCGGATCAAATTTCTCTTGTTTTTGGTCAGTTAGAATGACCACAATTATTTATATTTGCTAAATTCTAGAAAACATGGTGAACATTTTTAGATATTTTTTTATTTTTTGAATACTGTGTTTGAAAATTTAACTTCACCTCAACATAATGTGTTTGGATTGTTTCAGTGTAATTAATATTTATTTCATTCCTAGTAGCTCGGTGACTTATTGATCATCGTATACTTTATATGTTAAAGTTGTTTGTGCCGTTCAGCGTCTCTACCATTGTAGTGGGCATCATCAAAGCATTTTTCACTGTTGGAGCTTAAGATAAGCATCCTGCTGTCTCATTTCCCCAGATCCTGACAGAGCTGGGCGGCTTCGAGGTGAAGGAGTCCAAGTTCCGGCGGGAGATGGGAGAAGCTGAGGAACCTCCAGTCTCGAGACCTGGCACTGGAGGTGGACCGCGACCGGGACCAGCTGATACAGCAGACCATGCGCCAGCAATGGCCACTTTGGCAGGCGGTGCACCACCACGCCCATGGCCGTGCACCGGGTCAAGGTCACGTTCAAGGACGAGCCCGGGGAGGGCAGCGGCGTGGCTCGCAGCTTCTACACGGCCATCGCGCTGGCGCTGCTCTCCAACGACAAGCTGCCCAACCTGGACTGCGTTCAGAGTGTCAGCAAGGGCATGCAGGCCAGCAGTACGTGTCATCACGATTACAATTCAAGTATGCCAAACATAGAAACTATCGCATATTACGACATTTTATTCTGCAATTAATGATTCTTCAGTCATGCTGAAAATATTTCATTTTGCTGTTGCAAATGAATTTTTGGACAAAACTACCCCCCCACCTAAAAATGTATTTAAGTTTTCTTTTCTGTCTGTTTTGTTTTTTAACCCTCCAGATCTGATGCAAAGGTTAAGAAACAGAGATCGGGAGAGAGAGCGGAGAAGTGGAGGGCTTCGAGCGGGATCTCGGAGAGACCGAGACAGGTCAGTCCTGATATATAGAATATATGGAATGTTTTTCTCATTTTTGATCTCCAGTTTTAGTGACCTGCTGATTCTGATTTCTGTTTAAAGCTGCAGTATCTAACCTTTATAAAAATGTCCACCCGGTGCTGCTACTGTAATCTAAAAAAACGCACCGCTACTGACCAAAAACAACCAATCAGAGCCAGGAGGCTGATCTTAGTGCTGTCAGTCAACCTTGTATATGCTGCTAAATGTGCAAATAGCGGAAAAGCAGCATACTGTTACAGGAAAACTATTTATCCACTTTCATCGGTGGCCATGCTAACTAACATAGCATTCTTGCCAAACTCTGCTGTTGGAAACCACCTGTAGTGTAGCAGAGGGTCGCATACAAGAGGATGATTGACAGCACCAATACCCTCCTCCTGACTGGTTGTTTCTGAAAGGAGCGGCGTATTTTTGTTGTTGGCTCTGGGAGAAGGGAGTGATGATTTTAACAAATATGTACAACACATTTTTTATGAAATGATATTCTCCTGCTTTAAGAACAAAGCATTAAGAACATTTTGGAATACTGTTTCCAAGCTTAAGCAGGCAATTTAGAATTTATTTAACAGCGGAGACATCTTGTGTTAAGATTAACTGCTGTAACACAATTTTTACCATTTTAAAACAAAGGCAGAATGATTCATTTCACATTAAGTCGCCAAGCTGCAAATACAGCCGATGGAAATATTAGATTGACTATCTTAGTCAAACACGAACATGTAAAAATAAACCACAACAAACCTCTTTCAAATGGTTCAGAAAGTGACAATATATAGGAATTCTATAAATTCTAAATATAATGTAAAATGAATACCAAAGCATGATGTCACTCAGACTACAAATTATAGAATTAGAGTGAATAGATCTGTCCTTATGGTTCTGGTCCATTGTCACTGATGTCAGATCTAGATTTATTTATTTTTATAATCAAATTGGTGCTTCTGTGGTTCTGATGTTGTTTGGGTCTGTAGGGACTCCAGAAGGCAGCTGTCGATCGACACCCGGCCGTTCAGGCCTTCCTCAGAGGGAAACCCCAGCGACGAGCCTGACCCCCTGCCTGCACACAGACAGGCGCTTGGTGAACGGCTATACCCTCGAGTTCATGCAATGCAACCGGTAATAAAACATCGATTTTGTTAAAATTTTAGTGGGATTTTAAATTTTGGAGGGATTTTAGAGTTGTGCATTATTGAATGTAATTTAGTGCGTTTCTCTGCAGGCGTTTGCCAGTAAAATCACCGGCATGCTCCTGGAGCTTTCTCCTGCTCAACTGCTGCTGCTGCTAGCCAGCGAGGATTCCTTGAGGGCCCGGGTGGAGGAAGCCATGGAGCTTCTCATTGCACATGGAAGGTAATTCCACCTCACCCCCCAGAGCAGGCATGTAGTGAAAAACGGGGTTCGTACTGGTGCTTGAAATTCTTGAAAATGCTTCAATTCATAACTACATGTTTCAGATTTGGAAAAAGCTTCATTTGAATTTCATATGATACTCAAACTGCACAGGTTTGCAATAAAGTACAAGTTAATGTTTGTTTGAAAACCTAAACTTGCAAAGTACTATGTACGGTTATACCAGGTTTTATCATTTAACCAACATCAAACTCTTTTGGTTTAGGGAAAATGGTGCTGACAGCATCCTGGACCTGGGCCTCCCTGAAGCCTCTGAAAAAGCACAGGTAACCCATTTTTTCCTCCTTTTTTTCCCTCCTTTTTTTCCTTCCCCCCATTTCATCACTTGTAAAAAAAAAAAAATAAATAATAAAAAAAATAATAAAAGTGGGATTTAGCTGAGATTTCAAAATTAACAAGGTGTTTCCTTACTTACTGTTACAGCAGCAAGATAACCGGAAGCGCCACGGATCAACGCGCAGCGTTGTCGACATGGAGCTGGATGATCCAGACGATGCCGATGACAACGCCCCCCTCTTCTACCAGCCCGGCAAGCGGGGCTTTTACTCCCCCCGGCCGGGCAAGAACACAGAGGCCAGACTCAACTGCTTCAGGAACATTGGCAGGTAAATGAGAAAGGAACTGAATCCCATGACGTGAAAATGTTGCATCTGTATTAATCCTTGACTTTTATTTCCTTCCAGAATATTGGGGCTCTGCTTGCTGCAGAATGAACTCTGTCCAATCACGCTGAACAGACACGTGATCAAAGTGTTGCTCGGTAGAAAGGTAGAAAGCGTTTTGCTGTGTTTTTTCTGTTTGCAGCTGCTACACATCTGTTTCTCCTTCTGGATGAAAAAACGAACATATGTGTGATCTGTCACTGCAGGTGAATTGGCATGACTTTGCGTTCTTTGACCCGGTCATGTACGAGAGCTTACGGCAGCTGATCCGCCATTCGCAGACGGGAGAAGCGGACGCTGTGTTTGCTGCCATGGATCTGGCCTTTGCTATTGACCTCTGCAAGGAGGAAGGGGCAGGACAGGTACCAGCCTCTATTGATATTGTTTGAATGAATAACCTGACTCCACCACTCGGCTCCTTCAGACTACCAGTAGCAATTAGCAAATACCTGGTCAAACTTCAAATCAGCTGACCTCATTATAGGAGCTGCTTCTCAGTGAAATGCTGGTAAAAATGATAGTTATTAGATGAGCCATGTTTTAAAGACTCCCTGACGGAGTTTCAGAAGGAGCAGGATTACTTTTATGGAGACAGAGACCCAATTTCAAAGCGCTAAATTACAAAGTCAATTTTCTTCTAAGTCATATTTGAAATTTATAGCATATTGATAACTATGGAAGTCAACATATTTACTTGATTGTGCTATAAAGTGGCACCCTTTCAGTTTGGTCTAATGTTGATATTTAGATTTTTGATGTTATAACTGAGACTCCAGATAAACGCTCTTTCAAAAAAATAGGGACCATTGGCATGTAGATTGCCTTACTTTACAATCTGGGTTCATGGTTCTTGAACCAACCTGGTGTAAACGCAAAGCAATCAAACAACTATTTTTTATATAAACTAAGGTAAAGAGTCCAAAGATGCACAAACTGCTTAAATGTAACTGAAGTTTGAAAAACATGATAGTTGGTTTTACTAAGTTGAAAACAAAACATTTGGTTGTTTTGCTCCTGCATCCAATTAGACTTCAGCTTTTAGTGGTTTAGTGATTGTGGAAAATAGTGGAATAAAAGCAAATGTCTCATACTGCTAATTTAATTTAAAAACGATGATAAAATAATAATAAAGAATTTAAGATGAATTTTGTTGGAATCTGTAGTGTTTGGAATCTCTCAGGAAATTTCTCAGTCTGTATTTGAAAATGTGTTGATCTAAACTCATACAATGTGGAAAGGAAATCTTGAACGTTTCAAAAATGATAAAACACTTATGCTACAAGATGAACTCAGTGAACATACAATGATGAACAGTAAATAATATTATAATATATATTTAAATTGCAGTTTAAGAATGAAATCTGAGTTTGAACTGTATAAACCGGATTAAATGATGATCTGATTAAGACATCAATAAAGACCAACTGAAACCAGTCACCTCAATAAAAACACATCTGAGATTGTTGATTTACTCCTTTTGTTTGTCGTGCAGGTTGAGCTGCTGTCGGGCGGGGTCAACATGCCGGTAACTCCACACAACGTTTACGAGTATGTGAGGAAGTACGCAGAGCACCGGATGCTGGTGGTGGCCGAGCAGCCGCTCCACGTGAGTCGGAACACTGACGTCGCCTTTGAGACCGGTGGGTTTATTTGGTGTGATTCACCAACATTTTTTCCCTTTGTTTCTTAAGGCGATGAGGAAAGGTTTGCTGGACGTTCTTCCTAAAAACGCCCTGGAGGATTTGACGGCGGAAGACTTCCGGCTGCTGGTGAACGGCTGTGGAGAAGTCAACGTTCAGATGCTCATCAGCTTCACTTCGTTCAACGATGAATCAGGTCTTTCACTCGCTGCAGTCTACGTTGAACCCCATTCCACTCTGATGATGGCTTCCTTCTTAATGTTTCTGCCAGCGTATTAAGCAAAACACTTGTTGGTCTTACAGGGGAAAATGCAGATAAACTACTGCAGTTTAAACGATGGTTTTGGTCCATAGTAGAAAAGATGAGTATGACTGAAAGGCAAGATTTGGTGAGTTCTTTTTCTTTTTCTTTAAATTAACCTTGAATTAATAAATGATTTAATGGGAGATTTACATTTTAACAGGTTTTCTTTCACAAATATAAAGTTTTCTTGCTGTTTTGAAACCCTTTCTAAAATAACAATTGCTTTTTAAAAATTCTATAAAATAATGCTAAGATCAAGAGTTCAGTAAACATGAGTGAATTTCCTCAAATGTTTCTGTATCAAAAGTGAGCTTTGTGATGCACTGCAAAAACCAGCGTTCAATCTTTGTGAACCTCATTTATTCACAGCATGTGCTTAAAACAGCCTGAACAAATGTTTATTTGTTGAATAAAATAGTACAGTAGTAATATGCTAATAGGCTTTTTTTATATACAAGCAAATAAGTTGGAAAAAAGATTCAAGAGAAATGTATCACCTTTGTTGACAATCTACAGAAAATGGGGAATTAATACTTGGCAGTTGAAAAAAGTGTCTGCATTTTTCTTGCCATATTTAAAGCTTTACTGGTTTGAACTTTCCTGTGAATGATTGAACTACTTAGTTATGGAACCATCATTTCTAAGAACTGCATTATAATCTGTTGACAAATAGGCCAAAGCCTGTTTGTCTTGGACACGAGTTTTGTTTTCACAAACATGGACCAAATCCACATGCAATTAAGCTTAATTACAATCTAAAGTCAAATAAAACCCATCTGAGTTAAAGCTGCTGTATGACTTATACAAAAAATCTTTTTTACAGATTTAATATTACCATGTCATGACAGTACAATATGAGACAGGTAATCTGTGAAAAGATTGAGAAAGAGCTCCTCCACCTCAACAATGCTGCTATTGGGGTCTGAAAATGCATCTCTCCTGGTCAAAAACAACCATTCAAAGTCGGGAGGTTCTTGGCGCTGTAAATCAACCTTGTGAACGTGCTAAGGCAGAGAAACGGCTTACCATTACAGAAAAGCTGCTTATTGCCTGTCAATGATGGCCTTGCTAGCTAACCTTAACATCTGTGGCAGGCTTCTTGTAGCACAGAGTAAGGTACAAGAGGGTGATTGACAGCGCTAAGCTGTCACTCAGCAGTGAATTTCTCTGAGCAGAGAAATTCAGTTGATGGCAGGTCAATATAAGGCAGGGGAGCTCAATGTTTCCAGATTATGCATGTCATATTACACTGTCATGAGACAGTGACAAATATGTAACAAAAAACCAAAACAACATAAAATGTACATACTGCACATTTAATAACACATTGGTTTGGTTATCAGGTGTACTTCTGGACGTCCAGCCCCTCTCTGCCAGCCAGCGAGGAGGGCTTCCAGCCAATGCCCTCCATTACCATCCGGCTCCAGACGACCAGCACCTCCCCACAGCCAACACCTGCATCTCACGTCTCTACGTGCCACTATATTCTTCTAAACAGATCCTTAAACAAAACCTGCTAGCAATTAAAACCAAGAATTTTGGTTTTGTGTAGAGTTCGACTGAAAGCTGGAATAAAATAAAGAGGAAAAAAGGTTGTTGTGTAATATTTACCTAGTTCCATTTTTGTAGATTCATTCTTTTTTGTCCAGTTTTATTAAATTCAACATATGGTCTCTGTCCCCCATCAGTTAATATTTGTGTTCTGAACACAAACTGCATATTTTAATTTTATATATATATATATCTTTATATATATATATATACACATATATATTATTTTATTTGTATTTTTTGTGGTAATGAAGAGGTCCATAACATTCCTGCATTGGCACTGTAAAATGTAAAGCCCACCGCTCTATTCTATTGGCTTAAACCTTTTGCTTCCCAGGAACTGGGTTTGCCAGGAAGCTGTCAGCCGAAAATCCTAGCCAAAGATGACAGCAGCACATATGAACAGGACGAAAAAGACACTGTGGTTACAATTTTGTTTCCTTCCCTATGAAAGTACTATCTCTTGACAGATCACTGCTGCCTTTGTGGAAAGTTTTTTTTTCTTGTACAGGGGGAGTAGGGAATTTCAAAATAAACTTGGATGTAAATAAGTTGTGTATGTGTTTTGCTTCTTCTGATCAGAAGGTTCCTTTGCACTTTTCTACTTGTTCACATTGTGACTTTGAAATTGTGAGCTTTCAGTTTGTTCATTGGCTTGATTTAGAATGCCCACTTTTAAATTATAACAGATTAGTATGTTTTCCCTGTCACAATATTAAAACAGTTCTGAATGAAAATATTAATTATAGCAATTCTTTTAAATATGAAGAAATAATCAACTATTTTATTGTAAACTGTGCCTCAACTAAATCAGGTCCTTGCACTGTCCCATTTTACAGTTGTAGATTTTTTGTTTGTTTGAATCAATTATCAATCAATTATATTAATGTCTTTGTGTGGCAAATTAATTTAAAAGTTATGAAAACAAAACGGCATAGTAAGTGTGGCTATTTTTGTACAATAAAAATATTGGGCTGAGGAATCCAGTGACGAATCCAGGACGAGTCTCTCATTTAACTATTTTCCCGTGTTTGTAGAAATATTTTAATGACATATTTTTTTGGGAAGAAATATCTAAAACCTATTAAATCTTTTTTTGGAATCCTACCACACTACTACGACTCGTTTATACGACGCACAGCCTGGAATGTTGATTTTCCTACCGCCTTGAACGCAGCATTTCTCCAGTCATAACGGAGCCATATGAGGTGAACTTGCTGTTCGCGCGGACACGTTAGATATATTGTGCTGCTCAGATTAAGGGGACGTGAGCTAATAATGATAACTGTTGGCTCACTGGCCAGTTAGCTGATATACTCTCTCGGCAGCGCGTTCAAGGTCCTGTGAGTCAGCAGTGTCCCCATCTTGGCCGATGGTGCTGGCTGATGATTTCATTGTTTGCCATCATGTCGGAGTTGTTCCGTTATTTTTAGCTAGCGTGGCTTGCTAGCTCCGCGAGTAGCGGTGAGCGCAGCGTGAATAATCAGTCTGTTGTCTGAAATAAAGAGGGATGGAGTGGCAGGACGCGGCCTCTCAGCAGCTCAGGCTGCTTACCAGCCGTCTGAATGAATTGCTGACCAAAGGCCTGGAGTGGCTCCGCTCCGAATTCGGCGTGGACGTGGGACTGAAGCCGGAGCTTATTCCGCCATGGATAATCCTCCTTGCGGCATGCAGCGGGCTACTGCTGATGGTCGCCCTGTGGGCCTCAGTCTGCCGGACTGTCTTCAGGAAACGAGCCGCTGTAAGTGCTGCGGACGATGGGGTCGAGGGGAAACGAGGAGCCAGTAAGCCCGTGAAAGCGGAGGAACCGAAGAAAAAGAAGAAGAAAGGAGAGAAGGTGGGTGAATGAAACCGGGGCTGCGGAGCCGCGCGGGCTGCGGAGCTAGTTGACAGGCTAACGGCCACTGTGACAGTTGTAGCAAACGTGACGGCTAACCAAGCTAGCCACTGGCTCAAGAGGGAGTTGGCCCTATTTGAGGCTCTTATGTCCCACTGAATGTTGGTTTGGCTGTTAAGAGACTTTATGGCGTTCTTTATTCTCCTTCTATGTTTCATTAGAAAGCTCAGCCGAATGGGAGAGCCGTTGCTGAAGCCCAGGAAGGAGCCACAGCGTGTGAGGACAGAGTGCCACATCACCAGCCTCCCCCACCGCAAGTCAAGACCGACAAGGTTGCAGAGGTAATTCTGACTGAGAAACATTTCTTTTCCCGATTAAACCTGCGTCAAACGTTGCACCCTACTAAGAAAAGCTTCGCAATTTTTGGTACATTCATAGAAACACAGAGCAGGAGAGTCCATTCCACATTGTGAAAGTCCATAGATTGAAATAGGAGGTTCAGTACATGAGCTAATTTAGGACAGTCTTTATGACTTTGAGGGATTTTTGTTTCTCTTGTCACCGTGTGTTATGTTTTTCCTTTTTCTTTTCCTGTGATAAATTGTGCATTTTAGCCTTATTCATATTGCATATTTACAGACAAAGAAGTCCAAAGAAGGCCAAACCAGTTGTGAAGGAGACCAAGGCAGCAACTGGGGATGGCAAAGAACCAGAAGAAGGTGAAATTATAAGAAATAATTGTTTAAATCAGCGGCAAATGGATGTAAATCTGTATTACATGAGTTAATCTTTTTAACAGCCGCATGTTCTTTCTGAACCATAATCAGTCCTTTAACACTGTGAAATGCGTGTTTCAGGCACATGGGAGACCAAGGTCAGCAACAAGGAGAAACGTGAGCAGCGCAAGAAAGATAAGAACTCGAGCGATGGCTCGCCAGTCCTGGAGGAGGAGACACACCTGTGAACGCTCCGCCGGAGCAGCTCAGAGCCTCCGCAACGCCACCTGCACCTCCTGCCAGCCAGAAGAAGAAAAAAGGTTACATTTGTTGTTATCTCGGATTTCAGATGAAATGTGAAGTTTGCCTGTGGCTCGGTTATTTTGTTTGTGTTTTTTTTGTTTTGTTCATTTGTTTGTTTGTTTTTGCCTCTCCCTGGTTAGTCTCCTGTTGATGAAGTGTACTAAAAATATGGTTACTATGGGGAATTAAATCTTCTGTGAGTGTTCCCTGAAGCGGCCGAGTGCTGTTTACCCTTGGAAACAGCCTCGCGTGGATGGCACTCGTGACCTTTGTTGACCTTTTTCTGTTCTCAGGAGAATCTGCCAAAGCGAAGGCAGAGAAGGCTGAAGCTGCTGTCTCTCAAGGTAATTACCAGCACAAGCGTCTTCACTTTGACGACTTATTGATTCAGCCTCTCAGCCCTTTGTGATAGCAGCTTTAGTTAGGGGAATAGACATAAGTCCTTGAAATAAAGTTTTTCCGATGCAGTTTTCAGTGTTTTTTTTATTTTTTATTATTATTTAATTAAATTTTTATTTATTTTTTGTCATTTTTATTCTTTGCTGTTAGCTAACAGCAGCGTGGTGCCGGAGGCGGCCACTGCCACTGCCGAGATGGCAGTCAAGGTCGCACCGCAGAGCGCTGCTCCAAAGACGAGCTCCTGGACAACCAGAGGCAAACGGCCTCACTTTGGAGAGCAGGTTCAGATGGTAAACATGTTTCTTTTTTAACTGGTATGACATTGTTTCCGAGAGATGTTAATTGTTAGACATTTTAGATATTACTTTTCCATTTTTTTGCACTACAAGCACAAAATAAAATATATTTCGGGGAGGATTCCCTGTAGAATCTTAACATAAAATGTTAACTTGTTTTCAACATGTCTAAAACGTTTCACAGTCATATTGCCTTTGTTCTTATCCTCCTTACTTATATTTTATGGAATATTTGTACGATTAATCGAGGAATCGGATCTCTCTCTCTCTTACTATTCCGATCTTTCTGACAACAGAAAATCTGTTGTACTCCAACCATCGCACTGCAAAATTCAACGATCCTTCCTGATCCCCAAACCCTCACAATACACCACACCACCAACATCACCACCATCCTGCTAGCACTTCACAACAACTTGTAGGCGGAAGTAAGTGCGCTGCCCCCATAAATAACGATCCGGGTGGAATATGGTGCACTACATAATAAAACATAATTTAACGAAGCTTTGAGGCAGATACATTTTCCTCAAGGAATTTTAATAACCAAGGTACTCGAATCATTCGAGGAGTCCTTTTAGCCTAATAAAACATTAACCGGTGTGCTTAAGACACTTTGTAATCTTTTTTGCTGCTGCTTTGGGTTATTGTAAATTTGGAAAACCTGTTTGAGCTTAAGATTCTTTAATATTTGTCTGTAGAGTTTATTCCTGACCCACTGGAAAATACAAACGTAGCCAAGCAGATTTTTATGTTGAGATTCAGTCAGTTAGTGACTGAATTGTCACTATGTGTGTGTTTCAGAATCATGGGTTGTGCCGGTCCCCTCAGCAGAACTCAATCTGGTGTCTCTATCCAGCCTGGGAGTTCCTCGTAAGTTTGCTGCTCATTTTGTAAAGTGACTCGCCACCAGATGGCGTAGTTTTCCTCCTCTGTTTATTTGATGAACTGGTTGTGTTTTGTAGAGGCCCAACCTGTGAGACCTGACCTGGCTCAGTCAGCCCAGAGTGGACGATGAGTGGTCTGGACTCAGTACGCTATGCTTTTATTTTTTTCCTTTCCTTTTTTTCTCTTGAAGCCTTTCTGTTGAAGTAACGTACCATGGTGTTAAGATCCACCCGGTCATTCTGTCTGTTTTTTAGATGGAGGTTCAGCCGACCCCGGCTCTGACTGGAACGCTCCGTCTGAAGCCTGGGGGAAACTACGAGGAGCCCACCGCTGAGCCGGGCGAGCCTCAGGAGCCGCCCCTCCCCCTGAGCCAGCCAAGGCTGCTGATCGCAGCGGCTGTGAGTTCACACACCGTCCTTCTTAACTTGATGGAAGTTAGCTGAATACTATGAACAACTAAATGAAAGGTGTATATTTCCATATTTTGCTACATTATAATATATAAGCTTTATTGTACACAAAAAGATTTTATTTTGGAAAAAAATGTGTTTTTTAACATCTTAATATATGGTAGGGTGTAAAGGTTGCCACAGTAATTAGAGCATTTACAGATATAATTCATTACAGCTTTGAATTCCAAAGTTGCTCAGGTCTATTCTAACTTCTTGACGAAGAAGCTAAATTGATACAACATATGACTTCGAAGACGTTCCAAGTACCTTCACAAGGCGCAGTTTTTTGTTTTTTCTGTTTCGTGTTTACGGTTGTTAGACTTTTTTTTGTTTGTCCCCTTCATTGTTTGAAGGAGGAGGATGAATAAGGACAAAGGTGATGCCACTACTGATGAGCCACCACTAAAAAGAAGAAAGAAGAAGAAGAAGACTTCCGAGGAAGGAGGAACACTTGGCCAGGTAAAGCTCAAACCTTAAGCCATAGAGGAATTCAGACGACTGAGGTCATTTTGGTTGTGGAATCAATCAGACGGTACCATTGAATTTGTTTGTACTTGACTAAATTTCCCAATTAGTTCAATTTAATTTCCTCCTCTGTCCTGTGAAGTTGGACGAGCCGGCGAAGGAAGCGGCACCAGCACCTGCCGTTTCGGTGAAGAAGCC